TATGACACATGATAAACAAAAGAAAGTGTTGGTCTGGGTGATAAATTTATCTATTATTTTGAAATTTGTCACCATCCTAATGTTATCATAGTGCTTACTCATAAATATTTGTGGCTAAAGAATGAAATATATATGACATAGCATAAATTTTGAGTATGCAGAAAAGTAAACTAGGTGTTAGCATTGAACCCTCTTTGCTATTTGAGATTGAATTCCTGAGCAACAGTGTGTTTAATTATGAATGTAATAGACTTAACCTACTCTTGAGATTGCCAGAAGAGCAGCAATAAAATTTTATTAAGCACTATAAACCCAAGAGTAAGACCTCTGTGCAACATGAACAAATGTCCAGTGTGTGAAAAACAAGACTATTGAAAAGTAAATTAGCTGAGATGATGATAGCACATTCACTGTAGGGGAAATACAAGATAAGGTCCTGGTTTCAGAATGTATTCTAGCTTTATGAAAGAAAATACTCTGAGGCAAAGAATTGTGTAGTAGGCATGTTTAAAAAAGAAGAAAATGAAATTGTATAGTCAGGTGAAATATAGAACTACATAACAAAATAACTAGCTTATGAGATAAACTCAGGATAATACAGCCAACTTAATGTTCTATATTGTTTAAGATTGAGAAAAAGTCATAATCAATTTAGGTGTTCAGTGGGTCAACAGAACATGGTGATTAAATAATTAAGTAAATAATTAACATTAATCATATCATCAGATAGTATAACTAAAATTAGAAAATATATTTATTCTTTGTTAGAAGTAAATTATCAAAAATCTATTTTTATCAATATATGTTTTTAAAATATGAAATAAACCCAATGGCATTTGACTGCTTTCAGGCACTTTTGTTTATTTATTTTACTTTTTAAGACAGGGTCTAAGTTGCTGAGGCTGGCCTTAAACTTGCAATCCTCCTACCTTAGACTCCCTGGTTCCTGAGATTCCAGGCTTGTACCACCATGCCTAGCAAGGCATATTTCTTAATTCATAAAATTTTTACAATTTTGGATATTTTATTCTGTGAAAGAAAATATAGAGGAATCCAATGTATCCACAGCTATCATAGAAGAGATTTTCTTAAGTATATTCACCATCCAATCTTCACCTCTTGGTCCTCTTTCTGAGTGTCCTGTGAAAGGTCACTCAGCAGATATTGACATAGCAGCCATATGCCCACCTTGACATCTCTCAGTTGAAGAATCTCATTCCTTACATGATTATAGGAATCAGAAGCACAGTTTTAGTATTTCTTTTTTTCCTTTTTTTTAAAGAGAGAGAGAGAGAGAGAGAGAGAGAGAGAGAGAGAGAATTTTTTAATATTTATTTTTCAGTTTTCGTCAGACACAACATCTTTGTATGTGGTACTGAGGATGGAACCTGGGCCGCACGAGTGCCAGGTGAGCGCGCTACCGCTTGAGCCACATCCCCAGCCTAGTCAGTTTTAGTATTTCTTATTTAAAGTTTGGGAATCAGAAGAGCTTTTACATATTTCATTTTGTAATCTATGGAAAAATTTGTGTTTTGTGATAGTAGAAAAAAATAATAGTATTGCTATGTAATCCCCTTTTTGTAAATAAGCTTAATTTTATCATGAAAATCTAGCATGCATTATTTTAAAGAAATATCATAAAATTTACTTCTGAGGTTTAAAGATATTATGTTCTTATTACTTCAAGCCTATTGCCCATGTTTTAAGACTTTCATGTATTTTTTCAAGAAATTAATCTAAATAATCTATTTTTGAAAAATTGAGCAAAATTTTAAAAGTCTGAAATTCATTAGGGGATATTTTATGTTGATTTTTAATACTTTGAAGAATTAATTTAATTTTTACTTTATAAGATTTCTAAGTTGTCTGTGTACTTATGTCTATCTTCCTAGTATCCATATACTTGTAAACTTTTAAAGAATATCAGAGACAAAATTAAATGACATAAGATTTCAGTTCTAACAATTCAAACTCATGTTGTTCCATTATTTTAAAAAAAGCTTTGTTAATTGATGCTTAATATTATTCTAATGCCATATATTTAATTCATAGTTAATTCATGCTTTCTATTTTAGTTATAGAATTGATCACTTATAACTCTTCAAGATGTCTAAAAGCATGTCATGTCAATGACATTGTATTTTAAAGAACAGAACCACCATTTGTGCTCAAAAATTATATTTTAAATTTATGAAAACAGTTTACATTTAATTGAATTAAGACATCAATAAAATATATAATATTAAAATCTCAGTAGTTTTTCAAATTTCTCATAGAAGAAAATTGATATATGTACATATCAATGTTTATTGCAGCATGAATCACAGGAGTCAATTTATGGAACCAAGCTAGGTATCCATCAATAGAAGAATGGAACACAATAATGTTTCCCATACAAATTCCATGAAGTTGTATTCAGCCATAATGAGTAATGAGATGACATTTCATTAAAAAAAAAAAAATGGATGGAACAGGGAAAGCATTATGTTAAGTGAAATAAGCTGGCTCAGAAATGCAATGATCACATATTTTCTCTCATATGTGGAAGCCAGATAGAAAAAAAAAGTGTATGTGCTGGGGAACCAGTAGAGTAGAGGAATAGGATCAAAGGGTGGGGAGAGGGAAGATCTTGGGGAAATAGTAAGGAATCAAATTGGTCAAATTATGTTTTGTGCATGTGCAAAATGCCACAAGGAAACCCACTTTTCTGTATATGGTTATACACCAATAAAAATATTTTAATAAAGAAATTTACCATTCAGAAAGAGGAATAGAC